TCAATTTCATCTTCTGCCCAATCACAATTTCGTAATAAATTAGTAAAATCATCAAGTAATAATTTAGCTGTATGTTTAGGATCAAGAATATCAAATGCTTCTTCTAAACGTACTCTATCTTGATCTATTGGATACCAATATTCATGTACAATAGTTAAAAAATCCGGATATGATAATTGATCATTAAAATCTATAAAAAATATTCTTATTTTTTTATGATAGGATATTTCTATACTAACCATCTTCATTCATTTGATTTTGATTTAATTTTTTAAGAGCTGTAGCTTTTTCAATCATATCTTTAATAACATCTTCTGGTGGATTTTGTCCAGCATGACGAAATGCATCACCTATTTCTTCAATACGAATATAATCATTTTTTTTTGCTACTTTTTTAAAACCAAATTTGAGATCTAGAATAAAATTTTATATTGTCTTTTATTTTTGTATCAAATTTGATCTTTGTTATAGTTTAATATAAATATTTCTATATGTATAAAGTCTTACATTCTCGAGAAGTTTCATCTAAGATTAGTTCTTCATTAAATACTTCTTCAGTAGGTTCCTGTCCGGTACTCTAATAAATAGAATAAATTTAAAAACAAAAAAAAGATTTTTAATTATTAAAAGATATTTACGAAAAAATCATTTGTATTATTTAATGATGATATTGTCTGTTCCAGTGGATTTAGTTGATTCGGTGTACCATTTTGATCATCGAAATCCATTGTTTAAATTTTGTTTTATTATTTCTTTTAATGGTTATGTTAACAATACATATGTGTAATTCATATGTTGTCAAGACAAACTATTGACATTTCATTGTTGAGGAGTAAAATTTAAAAGAAAAGGATCATGTCTTCTTTTGTTTTTCATCATTTGTCTTGATTGATAGACGGCGTTATGATTGTTGTTTTTTTCTTTTCTGCTTCATTGATTTTAATTTATAATGTCACAAACATAAACCATTATTTGTTTGTTAATTATTCGATTTGAAGAATGTGAATTTTATAACAAACCTTAAATAGCAGTGGACAACACTCTGACCCATGGAAAAAATGATCATTTCAAACGGAAAACAAGATGTTCAAGTCAATTTTATGTATTACGATATATTTACATAAATTGACAACGAAAAAGTGCTTTACACTACAGAGGAAAAATGATTTCTACTAATAGGAATAATGATCAAATAGAAGGAACTAATATGCCCTATTGGAAGGAACTTTTAGAGTTCATTATATAAATAGTTGGATGAATTGTCGGCGGAGGAGGCAGATTGACTTTTCGCCATACAAGATAATTTGATTTATCTATTTTGTTATTAAACGAGCAGCAACGAATAGAGTGAAGGTTGATAATAATCAGGTCGTACGAAATGGTCCGTGCGTGGCCTCTTTAGGACAATCCGTAGTATTTCGTTTACAAAGATCCGTTTACGGTATACTTACATACATATTACGGAACGTTAACAGAGCTGTTAGTCTAGAGGGCCATTTTCAATACACAAACGAGGCCGTATACGTTCTGTTTTCGGACTGTCTTGTCAAAACATCTCTTGCTCTCACATTGATTAATATAGAATCCAAGCGATTATAGATAGCGCGGCATTTAAGAGCTCGCTACAGTGCTTCTTCAGACGGCTATCTAAATGTCACGTATTTGTCCTGTATCATTTCCGTAATCATCCGGTATTGTAAAAATGGCTAAGTACCACTTGATGGTATATAATCAAAATAGTCTGATGAATTTCATCTAATACCATCAAGTAATTGATTGTAGAATGGTTCTGTGAATCTTCTTATCGAGAACATATTTTGTTTTTAGCTTGCATCTTACTCAAAAATTCTTTTTTTGTTTTGATTAATGTCAAGTTTCAAGCAACATTTTTGAACTATTTTATGGATCAATCAATAGTTTTCATTGAGTTCCATAGGACACAACAAAGTATGATTCTTAAAAAAGCCTGAGTGCCACATTTCATCATCGGTAATATTGCCTCTATCATTGAGATAACAAAAAAACTATATAGTTTTTTTAAAACTTTATCCGTGCGTTGCTTCTTTGACAAATGACAGGTACCATAGATGATACACACTACTCTGGTTTTGGTCTTTCTCTGAGAAAAAAAATTTTTTCTAGTTTTTTTTTTATTTAGCTCTTAATTCTAAGTCTAGATCGAAGCACATGGTACAGAAACAATCATATACGATGCAGTAGGATACCAAATAGTGTACTACAACTAAAAGTGATTGCAGAACGCGACTACATCGTCAGAATAAGACAAGTCTGTGGACCACTAATTTATAACATATCTCAGATAATTTACGTTGCAAACATGATCCGTTTACATATACCGAAATTACCGTATTCGGTCAATGTTTACGATACAGATAATATGATTAAATACGGACTAAAAATGGTTTGTATTGATGACACTCTTTACTGCAGTTTTTTACTGTTTACATTCTGAGAACGTACTGTAAACGGATCCATTTTGATCGACTTGGATGGTCATTATTCAAAATCATTGTTTCTAAAAGTTATCATTTTTCTGGATGGCTGTCGGTTTTTATTGAATAAACGTAAACGATTATTTGAACAGTAGCTGTTTTCGATTAGTTTTATTATCTTGTAATTTTTTAACCCGATCGCCTGTTTTTTTTCTTCGTTTAAAATGATTATTTTTGTCATTAATCGAATAGTTATTCAAATCTTCATTATAAAACTTTAGTCATAATCTGATATATATAAATTCTGTTGCGTTTTATTATTTTGTTCTTGCACGCAAACAAATACACAAATTGTAAAAAATATAGAAAGAATGAACGAAACCAAACAACTGAATATGCACTCACAGAGAAAAAAAAGAAGAGAAAAGTACGATTATTCTTAATAAAGATAAGAAGCAAAAAAAAACTGATGAATTTATATACACAAAAAAAAAATGAGAAGAATTTTTGATTTTCTTTTCTGAAATATGTAAATGAAATAGAGAGATAAAGAAAAAGCGTTTAGGTTGTTTTTTTTTCTTATATATCTAGTCTACACAAATAATTGAGCAACAAAAATATTTCTAAATAATCCCATAATGAATAAATAGACTTAATTCTTATTTTAAGCATTGTCAATATTATCATCATCATCAATACCACTAGCATATAAATCAGCTAATCGTGAAAATTTAGGTCCCCATGAATAAAGAAAACGAAAATCATGTTCATCTTGATAATGTATTGATTCAATTGAACTTAAATCTGATGCTATTGAACCTTCACCTTCATATCGATAATGTAATTGTGTATCATTTGCATAAGATGTTATTTGTTGTTCAGTTAATTTTTCATCTATATAATCACCAAGTGCTGGTCGACGATTTATTATTGTATCAGTATAACCTTTTAAACAAAAAGAACATAGATAATAACTGAATTAATTAATTTAACAAAAAAAAAAAGATTTACCTATATTATGCATACCCGCTCGACCACCATTTGCAATAATTTCTTCATCTGTTAATGCATAAACAGGTTTTTTTAATACACCAAGATTATATGTTGAATGATCTTCTTCTCCGGCAGTTTCTCTATAGAAATAAAAAATTTGTATGATAGAATACATAATTAAAATTTAGTAAATATTATTCAAAAATAAATTAGATCTATATTCTTAAGGTTTACACTCTTGATTAGTAGCAGTAGAAGAATTTTTTTAGTTTCTGATGACTAGCGATATGAAATTTCAGTTTACTGGGAAGGAGTCCGCTAATTGATTAATTGGTTTTGAGTCAAGACTATGTAGATCCAAATGAGTTGTAAATATCTTGAAAAGAGTTTGTATCCTTAACTTATTGCTGTGGACATACTACGCTTTTATAGTAGGTTTTAAATGAATACCGTAGTAACCGAAAAATTGATTTTTACTAAATTTCGATTTGAAATTTTGCATAAGGACAGATCTTAACGAGAGTAGTTTATTGGTTTGCTTCTAGTTTGAAATACAAGCATAAAATCTGCCGGTTTATATGAACAATGTAAAAGACACGCTATTATCATAATTATATTCTAGAATAGAAACATTGATAAGATCTGAAATCTTCACAAAAAACTATTCTCATCGAGGTCTATCTCTATGCAAAATTTCAAGTTGAAATTCGAAAATCAATTTTTCTACTACTACAGTATTCATTTAAAACAATACCGTAAAAGTGCAGTATCTTCTCATGACAATAAGCTAAGATCACGAACTCTTTTCAGAAGTGGTATTCATAGCTCATTTGGATTTTACATAATACAAATAGTCTCGATTCAAAAATGATTTATTAGTTGGAAGACTTCTCTCATCAATGTAGTTCTATGCAATAAAATAACATGTAGGCATTAATGAATGGTTATTTTTGCAAGTTATCTTTTCATTACCTAATAAAGACAAAATTCTACTGGACGCTGCGATCTAGATTCATTTTGTTTGTTTTTTTTCGATAAACAATCAATTCGCTTTTTTATCTCATCAATTATTCATTTTATAATTAAAAATTTCAGATTAAAATTTTTAATTTATTTGTTTCTTAACATGTTTTTCTTTTTATCTTACTTATAATCAATAATATTATCTCTTGTATCATCTGGATATAATCCAGCTAATGCTTTTTGTTGTTGTCTCATTCTTATACATGTTAATAAACCTAATGCAATAATTGTTGATAATAATAATAAAACTAATGCAATAATTAACCATGTATACCATGGTATAATAATATCTGATGTACGTCCTATAACTGATGAAAGACATGAATTTGTTAATGAACATGGACATTGTCCTGCATTAGAATTAGCTGATAATAATGGTGAATTCATATCAAGATAATAACCATTTGATAAAACATTTCTTATACAACCACTAAATGTATTGACTTGTGTTAATGATGGATAAAGACCAGATATTAATGAACCAATAACTGGTATACCACCGAGATATAATTGAACATTTGATAAATCATATGTATTTAATGTATCATTAACTGTTGTTACATATTGACAATCATTTATTGAAACAAGAATTGTTGAATCAACATACTTTAAAAAAAAAACAGAATCATAAATTTAAAGATTATACTTAGAATATATGAAAAATAATGAGAAAAGTATTCTTTTTTTTTTTGTTTCATGAAATATCTTTAAATCTATATCGAGATATTTTCATTCTTAAGATTAAAGATTTCAATATCTATATATCTTATTGTGGCATCTTTAATCTGAAACAATTCATTAGTGAAAATCTCTCAAAATATATCAATTTCACGCTTTTCGATAGTCTATGATTTAGGACATCCTGGAAGAATATTGAAGAAACAAATTAGTCTTGGCAAAATACGAAAGCGACGTGCGACTTACCCACGCATGAACAACGGCACAGATCTGTGATTCACACTCAATTGCATTCGTTGAACATATTTATACTCTTCATTATTCAAAAAATTTTTGAATTTGTTTACAGTGCAATGCAACGATTTGGAGTCGCTTAGATTTTTTGAATAACATAAAATCATATGGTACCAGATCCGGAGAAGTACTTAACGTCCCTATCATCCTCAAAAATTGATCTAGGCCCAGGGACATTCAAATGGCATGAGATTTTTATGATACGTTGGGACTGTAGTGGATAAGCTATTGTAAAACTTTCAGCTCGATATCATGATGTTTGAGGGAGATATTGACCAAACAAGGGTAAAAAATAGCTCATGTAGTAAACCAAATTTCTCTGTCCAGGTTCATTCTAGAGATTTAAGTTTTTTGTTGTTTCAAAGAGCATGTTAGGATACAGTAGAATACAGAGCCCTTATTCTCAAATTTTTACTTTTTAAGGAGAAAAGGGATTGAAAGTTCAATGAATCAAAAATCCTTTAAAAAAACGAGTGTCGAGTTATAGAATTGCGTGCTCAAGAACCTCAACCAAAAAGATGTTCTGTTTTTTATGAAAACAGCTTATTTTTCAGAAAGAGAATGACAGAAATCTTCAAAAATTTTTGGAAAAAACGAGGTACCGAGTAAAAAATTTTTATTGTTTATGAAAGATCAAATCACAGGCTATCTTCCTATGCATTTATCTTAATTTCGACCATTCTGACGAAAAGTGACTTTTTTCGAGGAGGGAAGCCTTAAGGAAAAACTTGATAAGGTCCTTTCTATCTTTCTTCTACTGAAACCACCTTTTTTTTATACTCTGGCTAACCTAATGAATGTACTGAGCTCAAGATACTCTCCTACCAGTATGTCATAGGAATCTTTAGATACTCCAGTACATTAGTATACTTTATGGGTTTTTAGCGATTGACTACAAAATACTTTTAAATGTTCAATCTACGAACTTATTGAGAAATTTTTCATAACATATTAAAGAAATTAGGTAGGTGTCCAACCGAGATTTTGTGATATACTGATAACAGAGCACCCTGCTGACAAAGGACCCAGTATACGGGTACATTGAGCACAGTACATTCACAAGGTGATATTAGAGGAGACATGAAAAGGAAGAGGATACACATCGAATAGTAGCAGCGTCCCTAGAAAATTCTTCAAGTTGCGGTGCCATGGAAGGTTCGAAGATAGCCTTAGCTTTCTTCCTCTAACCAAAAATTCTGACGCCACGGCCAATATTGAAGACAAAATGTGATCTGATATTACCATTACATATCATAACAAACAGTTCTTATTGAAATTTCATATTAATTGAGAATGATATCAGAGAATTATAGAGTATTGTTTTTACTAGTAGATCATATAGAAAGCTATTTTAAGTTGTTTTTTTTTTATAAGGAATTAAAATATTTTCACCAGCATTTTTCATAATAAATAAAATATCTCACTTGATATTCAACATGATACCATGTTGATGCATTAAGCACAGTATTTGTTGCATCAAGTATTGTATCACGAAAATGAAATCTTAATCTTGATTGATAAATTTCAATTGCTGTCCAAAAAAAATCATTTATTGGTGTTGTATTACGTCCATATAATAAAATTAAACCATCAGTTATTGGTGATCGTACAGCAAAATCAAATGAAAAACGTGTTGGTGCACGATTTGAAAAAGTTCTTCCATCATATAC